GAGAGAGTGACAGTTAATAAAATCATACTTGTGGCTTCCTATGCTTTCCAAGAATTAATCCATTACATATGATCAAATAGGAGTTTGGCATGTGAAGTTCTTCACCAGAAAGTAACTCCAAGTCTTCTACACCAAGAGAGTAACACTGCCACACATCCACAAATAACGAAGTAAATGCTTCTTAACGTATATATGATATGGATTTGTTAATGTATATACATGGTATAGATTAGTGTATCAATTAGTAAAGTATTGTAATCCTGTAGTACATTAGACTATTTGATTTATTTTCTTTTATATGGTTTGCTCCTAGACTAATAGATATGTATATAGAGCGAGAGATATATATAGATATAATATATATATATATATATATCATTGTATATTGTACTCTAGCCTCAAATATAATGAATATAATCAGGTTATTCAATTTTATATTGTATCAAAGCCAATTCTAGAAAAATCTCAAAAAATATCAGCTTTCGGCTGTTTCTCTATTGCTCGTAAGAATCCATTTTAAAGTGCATTTCGGGTCTGACCTCCCACCTTCACATGCCAATGTCAGATCGACCTTCTAGTCAAGTTTCTCCGTTGGAGTCTGTGTGTATGAGTTAGACGCACCGTCGGAGTTTCAATAGCCAGTCTCATGAACCGGCACTTGCTCTGTATTATTTTAGCTAATACCCTTCTTTCTCCATTCATATCCAAATAAAAATCTTTTCCCATAGAAACCAAAGTCTTTTGTAGTGCACGTTTTGTATGGGATACTAGGCCCATCTCACCAAGTCAGATCCAAAAGCTCTCAAATGTGTTTTTTTATTTTTGGCGCTCCTGTGTAAAAGAGAGAGATCAGTTTTCTCTCCTACAGTTATACTATATTGAGTTTAGAGATGTTGCCTTTAACGAATGTCTGTCGTTTTTTTCCTACTTCAGTGTCTCATTGCAGATGAAGATATTTTAGTAAATTCTTTTCCTGCACCTAAGTCCCCTCCTTCAAAGTCTCCTCCATTTAGCCTTATCACTTGGGCCCTCATAACTCAAGTTTATACTTAGATGCCACTTTCAACTCCAAAGGTTCCCGCAGACTCAGCTTCATATCTATTGTCTGCAGTTTCGATGAAAGATCGTACTTCTAATCTACCTAACCCCTGAATCTACCATCAAAGACCTTCCAATTGCTCTCAGGAAAGAAAAATGTTGATGTACATATCCAAATATCCCTGTTGTTTCTATTATCATTTATCTGCCCCTTCACATTCATTTATTCCGATTATAGATTCCACCTCGATTTCTATTCCTAAGACTGTTGGTGAAGTTTTGTCCATTCTGACGTGCTGTTATGATTTAGTATATGAACTCACAATGGAAAATTGACTTTAAAGTGTAAACGATAAACCTATTGGCAACAAGGTGATTAGGTGTAAGTGGGTGTTTGCGGTTAAAGTAAATCTGAACGGCTCTTTGGCTCATCTTAAAGCTATGGTGCGAGGCGTGAGGCGAGGCGCCCGCCTTATAAAAAGCGAGGCGAGGCAATAACAAACATAATGCATTATGGACAAAGCATGAT